TTGGTTAAGTCGAGGTTTACGCGTAAGCCAGCCCTATATGAGCACCGCCCCTCCCACTACAATTTCTCCGAAGACAATGCCGGCATACCTGCATGGGCGTAAATCCCGGGAGGGATGGAGGGGACATGTCCCCCCCCCATCCGAGGGTTGTCCCCCCAAAAAAAAATTATTTAAAAAAATCACACTCTCTATTGTGAAAAATATATGTATGTATACCTAAAATAACTGTGTAAGTAGGAAAAAAAAACGCAAAAAATGCATTTAGAAACAGTTGAGTTGCCCCTCCCCTTCCTCACAGTGGTTTGGCCCACTGCCTGCTTTCCCAGTTCATCTCACCTACTCTACACACACGAGTCAGGTGTGTGGCTGCGGCTCAATTAATGTTGAACTCCAGTAAGTAGGGTATTTTATTCACTTTGAATGAAGCGATTCTCTTTAATGTAGTTGATGCAGACTCTTTTATAAATTAGTTGCGGCAAAAATGCTGATTACCGATGTAATTTTCCATGAATCTGCTATATTAGCGATTAAAATATTACTTATCTAGTTAACGTTAGCTTGTTTACAATAGCTTGTTGCATAGTGCACTGCAACTAACACGCCAAAGCCGTTTCCCATCCTAATAAAAAAATAAATATTAAATGAGCAAATTGATTTGATTTGTTCTATCCCAACTTGTGATCCAAAAGCAATGAGGCTGCCACCCATAATATCTGCTCTATGGAAATGCACTCCCATAGCCACTAGGGGAGCTCTCACCTTCTTTCAGTCCTGCTTAATTATGTTGCAATTCATTCCACTTGAAAAGTTGCAATTTAAACGGAGTCAGTGTAAGTGTGTGGCCCAGTAGCCTAAGTATTAATGCTGCATTCCATTTGCCTCGGGATCCAATTTTTGAATTCGGCCCTGGGGACCAAATTGTTTGTCCATTATAAGCGAAATTCCGTTATATGCGAGTCCGCTATATCCGATGCTTTTTCTGCATGTTCGTAAAGGCGCCAGGACCAGCGGACCTCGTCCATTATAGACGATATTCCGTTATAAGCGAGTCCACTATATCGGGATTTTACTGTAATTATTTTGTAATTAATTGTAATACTAAAACGTGATTTTATAGGCTTTATTATATCGATTATGTAACAATCTCAGCTCTGTTATCCATATTATGGAAGCATCACGCAGAGCTTTACTTCCGAAAAGATGGTTTTTATTCTCTGCTTTCTCGTCTTGCTTTTACTCAGCACTGACTACAGGGTTCTGTTTTTTTATATACCTATATACAAGACTCACTCTTCCGCTAACTAAAACAAAATTATGTTATTTTGGTACACCTTACAGATCAACAAAAAAAAATCAATCAGATTATGTAAAATATAATGTCAGATGAGCATGGGCTTAAATTACGGGGGGATGGGGGGGTTGTAGGCCTCCCAATAAATCAAAACCAGCTAATACAACCCCCCAAATAACCATGTTTCCCTCGTAATGGGTGGAGACCTCAATCCCCCCAATGTTCCACCCAAAGTTACGCCCTTGCAGATGAGGACATATTATTCAACAGATTACGACATAAATAGTGGGTGAGGGTAAAATGCGGATTCCGCCGGATGTAAACAAAAGAGCCTTCGAGGAGCTCAGCAATGTGGTCCATGTCATGTCAGCTGCAGACACCTCGAACGCACCCGTGATTAGGTAACGTCGTATGGGTTTCTTTCTATGCCAGGTGATCTGTCTACTCGGCGTGTGTCATTTGCGACACGTCTTTTTATAAACATAAAATCCATTGTTTGTAAACAGTTCGCATTTCGTCCGATGGAACGATCTTTTGGGAATCTGTTCCCA